AGGGTGTGAAAGCGGGTGGTGCTCGCGGGGCGTCCGCCGTCCCCCGTGGTGGAGGTCACTGCCGTCCAGGGGCGTCCGCCCTCCCCCGCGGTGGAGGTCACTGCCGTCCAGGGGCGTCCACCCTCCCCCGCGGTGGAGGTCACTGCCGTCCAGGGGCGCACAAAGAACTCAGGCGCCTGGGTGGGGAACGGGCGCCTCAATTCCTGACCTGGAGGTTTGACTTCACCGTTGCGGGTGGGGGGAGGGGAACCTGGGAATCTGCTTACAAAGTGCCCCCATGGCTGACTGCTCCGGGGGCTTGGGGAATAGTGCCTCAGGTGACACGGAGCCGCCGCTGCCACAGCCAGTGTCCGTGCAGCTTTCACAGGGGAAGACGGAAACGTCTAGAAAGGCTGTGTGCAGAGAGGGCGCGGTGGAGCTTGCCCCAGAAGCGAGGAAGATCAGCAAAGAGCAGCTCTAGCGCCGGGGGGAGGTGGGGTCGGGCACACGCGCAGCCCCAGGGGCCCTGAACCTCCGGCCCAGCGAACTCCGGTCCATAGCCCGGGATCCCGGCTGCCTCTCCGCCCCGAGGTTGGGCGGCGCGTCACCATCTCTGAACCTGGCCCCTCATCTGAGCGGTGCCCGCCTGGCCACCCGGGCCTCCTGCCCTCGTGGACCGCACGCAGCTGCCCTGGTAGATCCCACAGCCCGGCCGGGGGCTGAGGGCGCACGGTGCAGCGGGAGCAGGCAGGGCAGGCCCAGGGCTGCGCTGGGCCCTGGCCAGTCACGGGTGCCGCGCACTGAGAGACGAGAGGGGACTGTGTCGGGAGCGCGACAGCCTGCCATCCTGTCTCCTCTGCACCTTCAGAGCTTTGGTGCGATGGATGGAGAGTGTTTACACTCGTCTTTCTCGGCAGTGCCCTGAACGGAGCCGGCATTTAATAAACATCACCTGAGCAGACAAAGCTGCTACCGGTTTAATCCTAAGTATCCGGCGAGGTCGAAAACTCTGAAATTGCCCGTTTTACCTTCGGCAGTTTTTAAATTTGGAGACATTCTTTAATACGGTCAACCAGAGAACCGAGAGCTGGCCGGGCCTCAGCGGCCCCCGGTCTCCCACCCTGTACTGAGGGGAGAGGCCCTGGAGGTGGGGTCCCGCCCGGGGTAGGACCGGCCGCTGGCCCCGCAGTGGGAGCGGGAACCCTCCCAGGTCTTCCTGCCCCCCCACCCCCCGGTGGGCTCGTAACCTGGTCCCCCCTTGTTCTTCTAGGAGACGGATCTTCTAGAAGCAGCGAACTGAAGAAGAGATGTGAGGAACTGGAAGCTCAGCTGAAAGCCAAGGAGAAGGAGACGCAGGAGCTGCTGAAGGAGCTGGAGCAGAAGGACGCGGCGGTCGCCGTGCTGGAGAGCACGGCCAGGGAGCGGGAGAAGAAGTACCTGGAGGAGCTGAAGGTCAAGAGCCACAAGCTGAGCCTGCTGTCCGGCGAGCTGGAGCAGCGCGCCGGCACCATCGCCTACCTGACCTCCCAGCTGCACGCCACCAAGAGGAAGCTCCTCAGCTCCAGCGGCACCTCGGACGGCAGCCCGTCCGGGAGCCCGGTGCTGGCCAGCTACAAGCCAGCCCCCCCCAGAGACAAGCTGCCCGAGACGCCCCGCCGCCGGATGAAAAAGAGCCTGTCTGCCCCGCTGCACCCCGAATTCGAAGAGGTCTACAGATTCGGGGCCGAGAGCCGGAAACTACTTTTGCGGGAACCAGTGGATGCCATGCCCGACCCCACCCCGTTCCTGCTGGCCAGGGAGTCGGCCGAGGTCCACGTCATCAAGGAGAGGCCCCTGGTCATCCCCCCCATCGCGTCCGACCGCGGCGCGAGCGAGCAGCACAGCCCGG